CACGTTGTATTAAACGCTAAAGACAACATAGTCCTGCTGATTTTTTTTTTGTATTTTTCATATTTCCGAATGAGACGTTTTATTTCAAAAAATTATATATATATATATATATATATATATATATATATATATATATATATATATATATCCAAAGACAACCGAGTACTATCGAACGTCATCGTTCATCATCAGTCTCAATTTTTTTAACTTTTGCCAATTGCCTTGCAGCGGAATCGTATTATTACATTTAGTGAACAAATAAACGTTACGAAACATTAACGCGTCTTTTGAAGGTAAAAATATTTCGTAACGTTTATTTGGTTCATATAAATGTAACAATACGATTCCGCTGCAAGGCAATTGGCTTAAAGTTAAAAAATTTGACCCTGATGATGAACGATGACATTTGATAGTATTTGGTTGTCTTTTTTGAAAAAAAATATATATATATATATATATATATATATATATATATATATATATATATATATATATATAAAATTGACCCTATATATACGTTTTTATATGGACGTGTGGTCTAGTGGTTTGAACGTCCGCTTTATGACCATGGTCGATTTGTCGGTCTGGAGGACAAACGACCCCAGAATGCGGCACCTTTGGAAAGAGCCTAAAAACCATATCACGTGTTGACGCAAGCCTTGTGAGTGAAATTGGGAAGGCGGTATTGGGGACTGTCGATAGCTGTTCTAGCACGAAGTCACAAGTCATCGTGCCGGAGGGTTTGAGTGTGATTACCTTGTTCAAATTGTTGATCACTCTAGATAACACACTCTTCCAGAGACTGTAACTAAGGTCTGCTAAGCAGAGTTGCAATATAAACCACACGTTGGCTCTATGGGTGTTGAACAAACACAGATGTGCCTGAGCGAGCATCTGCAATAAGGATTGTTTAGCCACCATAATACGAATGGCCAGCTATTATTATGTATGTATGTATGTATCTATCTTTATATATATATATATATATATATATAAAATGGATTACTCTTTCAATGTACTGTCTATGAATTTTTCCAATCGACTGTTTCATAGAAAATACCCAAAACTCCATCGAATTTCAAATTAATTTCTTCGTAGGATGTTTTAGACATTTAGATATTTATCAAACCTTAACCTCCCAAATATGCACGTTAAAGTAACGCAAATTAACAGCGTCTAAGAATTTGAATGAAACCTGTCGTGTAATTGATTGGGGTTGTGGTAGCTTCTTCCTTTAATGTCGGTCTTATATCTAGAGACGAGACGCGTTAAATTTGAGCAACATCCAGCCGACACACTGGGGTTAAAAATAGGAAACTAAAATGATACATATGACACACTCATATCCTCTCTCCCACCTCACTTCCTCACTTCGTGAATTTTACGTATACTTGATGAGGTCCGTCAAAAACGTGTGAATTTCTTTCCATTTTTCATTTCAGCTTTTGGAAGTAAAGTCTGATGATCCAGAACCCTGTTAAAGGGGTTATGGTGAAAGAGCTTATTACATGGAATCTTAACGTGGTCTGTCTTTTATTCAAATATATCTGCTCTGAATTTGACATTGAGCTCTCTGGATATCATCCTCCTCGGGTCTACCCATACGGATTACCTAAATTTGCATAAACTATATATATATATATATATATATATATATATATGTGTGTGTGAAAATATATAGAAAATAGGAAGGAACTGGTTAGGTAAAAAATCCAAAAGTCCCTTAGTATTTTAGTTATTATTTTTAAAAATAGTGCTCGATACAAAAGTAGAGCATAAATATAATTATTTATTTAAAAATATGATTCCAAATCGCTACATAAGAGGTTGTCGGAGTTAACTCCTCCTTCAGTTCGTAACCCTTTCACCAGGGGTCTCTCTTTCCTGGCTATAAATAGCCAATGACCCTTCGCCTCGATCTCTTTTTTCCTTTTCAGGCCTGTGCACTGATACCTGGAAGTAATCTCTCTTATTCCTAGAGCATTTCAACTATCAACCTCGAAATGTAGTCGCTAACAAGAAATAGCGTGAAATCACGCTAAGCACAATATACACACACGCACGCACACACTGAATATTCACACACACTTCGTCCTTTGTACTCTTTCCCTGTATTGTAACTTGTTATGAATATATATTTGTGTATACATATATTATCGGTCTTGTTTTGTTTGCTTTCTTTTCCTTCTTCTTTGGACTTAATCAAAGTCCAACCTTTTTATGTAGTTGGGCTCGGCGGGAAGGAGTATCTGAACCTTGCGTTTCTTCTACGTCTGACTTCCATCAACAAAATGACAGCCACGCCATGAACCCTCAATAAACCATATCCGCCACGGGCCCTCTACAATGTCTCATGTTTCAAAACAAGAGCCGAAAACTTCAATATAATCCTTTAAATTAAATTGAGTTGAAATTAAAATGTTCCATCTTCAAGCGAAATTTTTAAAAATTTCGCTTGAAGATGGAACGAACCATTTTAATTTCAACTCAATTTAATTTA